CTCCAACAGCAACCCTACCACCTTAACACCCCGACCATAAAACAAATCTCCTCCACTACAAATTCATCCAATCCCCCTACACCCTCTTCAAATTATACTGAATCATTAACACCATCATCCACATCCACTATATCTTCACTAAACACTAATAGAGCTTACCGCACTTTTAAAAGAAAATTCCCCAACCATCCTTTCCCAGCAAAACCAGGAACAGCCCGTGAATACATCAACCACCCCCAGCATACTAACACTAAAGAATTTTTAGCTATCACTTTACCCTCATTTCCACAATACACCTTAAACACCCCTCACGACGCTAACGAAACACGCAACTTTGTAGATGAATACGTTTTAATGCCCACTCTCTCTTGGACCTCATACTATCATTTCACTAACCCTCTTTGCTTACCTTTATCCAGCACTTCCATCGATATAGACCGAAACAAAGACATGCTATATCGACTAACTACACCACTAACCGCTAGACAGTTTACTTACGTTGGATATAAAAAATCACTAAAAATACACACTGCACCTAGAGCTAATGAATATACGCTAGAATACTACGATCACAACATCATCAGAGCTAACCAAGATCAATTCTTAGATGACGATCGCTTCGCTAATCCACAAATCACCGAGAAATTTTTCATCAAGACACCATATGTATTTACACTAAACATCTTCGACCGAAAGTTTGATCACATTATTTCAGAAGCATTAACAAACACACAGGCATACGAAAGTTTTAAAGAACGCTTCCAAATATTTTCACTAACCTTTCATTTCCTTGCACCACACGAAAGAGATTTACACTGCTCACACGATATTATGTTGCGCACTAAACAAACACATACATACAGTTACTATCGTTTCATCCAAAATCACTTTGACCTCCACACACCCTCTAGACAACCACACCATCGTTTCCAATTCATCAATTCAAAATACACTTCACCGTATTTCCTAAATTTCACATATTGTATTAAAGACACTAACCTCCATGGTATTCTTCGTAATTATGACCCCATAACCCAAATGTACATTTTCTGCCCCATCACCAAAACCTTCAACGCCGAAGAATCCCGACCCTTCCTTATCCCGCACGAGTTTGTACAACCTATAGAAATCCCAATTTTAGAATTCATCCACAACACTAAATTTAACCACAAATTATATAACTTAATCCAAAACACACCTTATGAGTTTGCAGTAGGCACTGAAGAACTAACCACTATTAAGGCACTTCAATTGCTTTGGCCACTGCTTCAAACTAAAAATATCATCCGCATCTTAGCTAAACTACTAACAACTTCAGAACTAATTCACGATATCTTCCCCCACGGTTTTTTCCCCGACGACTAACAGGTAAGTATGAATTAAATGAATATAACTAACTAATTGAAATATTAAAAAAACTCACCATTCTTTATTCATGTTTTCATTAGATTTTTAGCTTTCATCCGACAATCACCTACAAAAACCACAAAAGAAACAATAAAAATCACAATCTTCATCAAACAATTTTAAAATTCTATTAATCTCCTACACTTATAAATTTCTAAATTTAATATCAATGCAATAAATTCATCTATAATCTTTTCCCCCATAGCAGTAAATCTAATTATGATGAAAATTTGTATCTTAAAATTCCCCCATAACTAGCAGTAAATTTCCAAATTCTATGCAGTAAATTAATAAAATGCAATTGCAGTACTAACCTTTTGATATTTTCATTCATTCGCACAGAAATTCTATCCACACTCGCACAGCTCGCCCACGAAGAATTGTTTAAAATAATGAATTTCAGTTTCAAGTTTTCACACTCAACAACTCTAACATATAATAACATGTTTCAAACTTTCCTTTAACCCGGTTGGAAAGGAATCATATACTAAACAAAACTAACCAACGCAGCTTACTAAATACCACAAATCATAGAATAACAGCATGACTAAGAAAAGGAAACCAACGGTACCCAAACCGGATTAACCCAGTTTAAAACTGGATAAATTATTCTTTTGAAGACTATTACAAAGTCTTAGAAAGAAATAATAAAACACAAAAAAGTCGAAAGACAAACCCATACCACAAACAATTTGATTTTTGAAAAAAAGGACACAACCAACGAAACATAAGAAAAACCACAACAAACCCAACATAAAACGTTGTCACATAACAGGACCCCTCACAAAAACCGCATGAAATCATACTCCCACACCTGGCCTAACCCACCAGGAAGGACGTCCTGAGCATGCTCTATAGCCGGCCTAACCCACCGCGCTACATCCACGCTTTGTGACCACACCTTTATTTTTAATAAGAGCTACTCAAGGGTGAGTAACTCTTCAAAATAACCGAACTAAAACAAAAAGCTTTTGTGAAAACAACTAACTAAAATCATTATAAAAAAAATATTAAACTAATAAAAGTTTTATAAAATGTAAAATCACATGATGCAATATATAGATCAGAATACAACACCAAGGACGAACATCAAAAGACAAGACGACCTCACTACACTCGAGAGAGAATGACCAACTACAATCGATATGCCGCTCACAATCACAACTCAAAGGATTTAGAGTACGACTTGACTTCGCAGAAAAGGACTTCATTGAACTAGACCAGTGACCACCTCGATGTTCAAGTATACGTACAGATCCGAGTAACCAGGCATCCCCTCCACGCACAATCTCCACGCCATTCCCAAACTAGATCATACACAAAAGAAGTTCTCCACGCAGAACAGAAAAACCTGACATAGCCAACCATTCTGGAATCAGAATTGACTTTGTTGCAGAGACTCAGTCGTTGTCACAAGAAGAAGCGAAAGAAAATTATGATGTTCGCCAAATACCAACGTCCATCATCCACCCTTGAATTACAGAAGAACTGTTCTAAAAAACTCTGTAAAACCCGGATGGGTGGAACCTGATCTAAACTACATTTTATGATTGGATAAATTAAATGTTTTACCAATGTAAAGTATTTAATATTAACCAATCATGATCCATCTAACTAACAACCCACTTATTTGTAAGTGCTGAAGTTACTTGTAATTTCAGCACCAGAGAGATTTGAATTTAACTTAGAAATTAGTTGGACTCTCCCGAGCACTTCAGCAGCCGCAATAAACCAGTATACCCTAGATCTATTGAGCCTAGCAGAGACTAGTTAAACAACCTGAGACTAGATAGTATAAGAGTAAGATTAGGATCGGTATTAGACTAAGAAGTTGCACGAATCTATCCGGCCGAAAATAAGATAGCGTGACGAGCAGACGGTGTACCCTATCCGAAATTACTCTATGAGTTATACACCCCAGTCATAACTCAGTTGTATCTTCTTTCTTTAGGAAGCGAAACCAGCCTTTAGTTTTCTGCCATCCATCTATCTGATTCTTCATGAATTTGAGAATTTGCTGCTTTTTCGAACTATCGTGGTTTTTGTGTAGTCGGTTAGTGCTCTTCAAGTTTGAATGTAGAAGATGGCATGGCATATAGTTCTAGACGTCTTCTGATACATCTTGGTGGTTTTCAATTTGGGCCTTTTGCTCTCTTGACTTCAAGTGAGCTCAAAATGTTTTCTATTGTTTTCTTCGAGGCATCGAAATTTTCATCAGTCAAAGTCGGTTTCCTTACATCGAAGTGTGCGAGCGAAATTTCACGATAAAACTGAATGGGAAAACTTATTCGCGAGACATCAATTTGTTCGTTTAGGAGGTTCTTTGTTCATCTCCTTTTATCAGTATTTTAGGTTAAGAAACTGCTCTATTTAGATTTATAAGAGGTTGACTGGGCTTGCAAGTTTTTTTTTGCGTATTAAGTTTATTCATCAAATTTGACTTTAAACTGGTTATCCATTGTGACAAAAATTGTCTTTTGTTCTTCTGGGAGCGTGAAGTTTGTCCAGATACTTGTACAATTCATCACTCAGTTTTAAATTTTAGTGTAGCATACGTCTTTCAGGGGATTCTCTTTGAGATATTCCTTGATGTTTTCATAATCAGTGTCACAAAAACGTCTGAAATTTAACATTGTTGGTTTGGCTTGAATTACTGAATATTCCATGGATAAATGGATTGCTTCGTGTTCTGCACAGTTGAATATTGAAAAACCTTTCGTTTTTTGTGGATCATTCTGTGCTATTTGCACTGCAGCAACCTGTTATCCTTGTTATATTATATACAAAGTGTTGATGTGTTTCAAGGACTAATTAATTTTTTTTCATCTTCTTGAGTTGGGAAGCCCAAGATTCAGACAGTTTTTGGCGAACCGAGGCAAACTTATTTACTCAGTTGAATGCGTTTTTAATTCATCACATGAACCAAAAAAGCTATTTGTTTCACACAACAACAATAAGAAAACTCGATTTCACAATTTTTCTGTTTAAATATATCTCGCAATTTTTTGACAAGCATAATTTATACATAATGTGGCTTTATGCATTGAGATTTATTACATGCAAAATTGTGGCTTTTTGTATTTGGTCCTATTTTGCTGCATCAAATTGGCAGTTTGTTAGAATATGCAGCTGCGTTATTGGTGGCTAGTTTTTAGGGATTGTAAGCATCTGTGGCTGAGCGGTTAGTGTGAAAGGCTCAAATTTGCTAGGTCGAAAATTCGAATCCGACACGTCGAGTTTTTGCTAATTCGAGGCTTCAACTTTTTCTTATGTCAGTTGATAGAGCTCCTTTTTGGTCATGCTCTTGCAAGTATTTGAGAAGCGCAGTTTCGCCTCTGTGTTGATATGTTGATTTCAGAAGCGTTGTGCAACGGCAATCAAATCATCTCGCTTTATAATTGTTTTGAAACTTTCATAATAACTGTGATCGGAAAATTGTGCTATTTATCTAGCAACCGGCAAACCTTGTTTATATTTTTTCATGGAATTCAATTTGTGACTGAAGAAGGTACCTATTTACAAACTGGGGTACCTCAAAACCCACCCTATGCCACAACTTCTTTCCGTCCAACTCTCAGTGCTATCTGTTTCAGGAGTATCTGCACGTGGAGCCTGCTCGGATGGTGTGGTCTCATCTCCTTCACCATCTTCCTCGCAGTGCTCTGCACGTCAGAAGTATTTCTCATGGTGTAAGTTAGAATGGCCGAAGGCAAATACATGCATTTCCTACTAATTTTCGCATTTACTGCTAATCGAATTAATATTTTTATATGAAACATGCGCCTGCACAGGTCGTAAAGATTTCAGATTGTTCGGTTCTCTTAGTCAAGAAGCCAAAATTGATATTAATGGGCAAGCGAGTTGTTTCTCATCATTTTTTAAAATTTATTCATGCATTTTAAGATATAAAAACGCCATAGATTATGGTAGTTCACGCCGTGGGCTACAGTCAATAATGTAACCTGTCCATTTTCATTCTCAGTCGTACCATGTCATTTTTTCAAGGTCGTAATTGATAACTAGATCCTTGTTGGGCTTATCCGGTTTGATCAATCATGACGATGTTAAGAGTAATGAACGTAGTGAGTACACTTTTATAGATCTTGATTTCTTGTTTTTTTTTCAGGAAAAATTCTTTAAATTAATTCACGCTCAATTTTGATTTTTCGCGGTTTGAGTTTTGATTTCTAAGTTCAATTCGTTTCCTTTGTAAAAAAAATAAGGCAAACTTCCCTATCTAATAGCAAAAATGTAATGTTAACGAAAAATTTTAGTGACTTCTAATTTCGAAAATGGAATTTAATTTTCAGATAACTCAGTGAAATAAAAATTTTAACCTATTGATCCATTTTTCTCAAAATAGGGTTAATTCTATCAGAAAAAGGTCAAACATAAATTTTTTGTGAAATTAAAAGAGCTGAAAGGGCATACATTTTTTCTTCAAATTTCGCAGGTTTATTTTTTTAAATAAAAAAACAAGTGAGTTTTTCTATCTCCTGGCGTTCATTACTCTTTTCAAACTGTCAGTTGGCTATGTTTATTGTCGTTTATTTCTTTTTGCAGGGGAGCAGTGATGGGCATCTTCGGTCTGATTGCCGCCTTCAGTCTCACTGCATGGTACCTCGTGTTCGCCCTTGTTAGTGCAATTTACTTTTTGTATAACTTGACTAAATTGAGTCTAATATTTCTTGAAGTAGCTAATAAATTATTTATTTTCAATCAGGGAATTAGAGTTTGATATAAGATTTTATTAAGGTGAATTACTAAGCATAAAAAAATTCGGTTTGCTGATGCTTCGGTTCTTAGCCCTAAGCCCTGCTTATAATTTGTTAATACCATCATTCACCTCCATTGTTTTCCTTCAGTTAATATTCATGATCCGAAAAGTATACATGGTGATATGACATAGCTCTGAGTGGAAAGAAAGTAAAGCGCATTGAGGTCAGCCGGGATGGTGGGAACCGCAGTGTAGTATAAACAATGCACAAACCACCTAAGATCTTTTTAATGCTCCACTGAACTCTCTTTTACGCTCTACTTAATTTCATGTTCGTATTCTGCTGAGTTGTGTGTAATTTAAAAGGTGAATAATCGCTCAATTTCCTGCAGGCTTGACAGGATGTTGCAGGGAGGAAAATGAAAAATGAGATGATGCGCAGACAGATAGTAGTTATGAATGAGGGAATATGCGAGAAAACTACAAAATAAGTAGTTTTTTATGCAATCTGGCGATAAGAAATGTTTATTTAATCTGAATATGTCGTTGGTTCGCTAAAAAGGAAAATACTGATTAATCAGATAGGTGTATAAATCAGTCGAACTTTTTAGGCGTCCAGGAGTGTGAATCATGTTCCTGTAGTGGGTGGTTTTAACAGTTGGGTGCCTCTTTAATTATGGAATCATATTTATGAGGTTCAAAATGACCGATTTCATGAACATTGCTTAATTTAACACAAACTTTAGCAATCATCTGAACACACTGTTTGAGATAAGAGTAAATTGGGTGTGAATATGGATGAGATTTTGGTATTTCGATTCAATTTTATTCGTTTTTTTTTGTATTCATGCTGACTTGTTTTGATTTTTTCTTAATTGATTATTTTGTGATTGATTTGTGTTATTAGGGCGTGTCTGACTTCTGTATGGACCCACATGGCGTGTTCTACAACCAGTCTGACTTTACCCAGACAGACATGGCCTACTTCCTCGACTGTCCCCCTCCCCACTACCAAGTGCCCACCGGTCCAGACGACAAGGTCAACCCCAACAACCCCTACTCATCGGTATGTTGTCAGCAATAGGCAAAACTGCGCTCATGAACCAATGCCTCGTCCATGCTCTTACATGCGGCACATTTTCTCTTTACAACGTTTTGGTCTATTCAAAAATTGTAGTCTTAAATTATGTATAAAAAATATCCATTATATTTACTAAAAATATCAATTAATTTTCTCTAGCTATAGATCTAACGTTGAAGTATTTGTAAGGTTGCCGCAAAATTGTCGCCGTTCCTTGTTGAATTTTTACTGCAGAAAAATAGCTAAAATGTTAGTTTCCTAGTTCAGTCGGAGCAATCCAGATGCTCTGAACGATCATTTTCAATTGTCCTTTATCTAGATTTTTCATATGTATGTAGAAAGGTTTAGTGTATTTAGTTTGTATTGCGTACAAAGTTATGATCACTCTTAGTGGTATGTTTTGTCTGCCGTTTTGAGGTGATATCGTTGTTTGTTGTAGGATCTACAGCGTGCGTTTGACAAGTACTACGAGAGCAATAAGACACTGGTGCAGTTGAAGAGAGATGCGGCGGTAGATGGAAGGGAGCCGGTGATGCTGATGTTCGAACTGATCCAGCAGAACATGCATAAGGTGAAGGCCAGTCTGGACGCCACTGCCAGCAAGACAGAGTGCATTGTGGTGCATCAAAATCTAGTGTCCGGACTGAATGCCGTCTGCTACACTTTCCTGTGAGTGTCAAACACTATCATTGTTGTACAAGTACTACTGAGATTTATGAGCGTATTCGTATGTAGATCCGTATAAAGGTACCATTAATGAAATACAATCTGATATTGATTAAAGCTCTTTTTCGAGACAATTGATTGAGCAGTTTGTAAGATTGCATCAAGGACAAGTGAAGAAATCAATCCATCTATTTAAACCTAAGCGCCTTTGTTTTTACATTCGTTTTCACCGGAAGGTTGTTCGGCCCCCTCTTTCAAGTAGAGCTTTTACATGCTTTTATAATAATTAAGTTCAAGTTATGACCTTGTGTGTCGCGAATCAATGTCTGTTGTAGGTATGAAGTTTTTTTTGAAAGTTATTACCTCTGCGATAAGCAAGGGTGTTGCAGCCATATTTTTTCTCGTAAATAACTTTGTTCACAGGATGACTCAAATTGGTGGTCATCTTCAAAACTGTATTTTTGTCAACTAACCAAACAATTTTTGAAATGGATTCATTTTAAATGGCAGTTCTATTCTAATTTTATGTTGGTTGTAAATTCGCAAACTCCGATTTCAATTTCATTTTTGTTTTCTCCCTTTATTTTCCTTTATTTGGCTTCAAAAGTTCCAGATGTAAAAAGGAGGTTGCTATCTAAATGTTTTGAGGGGTTTTAATTTTTTTTTTGGATTTTTCAAAGTATTTTTGTGTGTCTGCTCTGTGTGTCTGCTTTTGTCTGTCTGCCCAGGTATTTTCGGCTTTGTTATCGCATTGTATACTTTTTTGGATGCTCGTTAGCATTTATTTGTCTTAATTCGCATGTTTATCTATGAAGGAAAAATTCAAGACAAATCAAGACAAAATTATTACATTTTCGGTAGATAATTTTTTTCAAAAAAAATTATCAGCGACGTTTTCTTCTTTTTCAGTCGGCTAGCTTACTTTTTATGTTAATGTCGTATCGGAAATGGTACGAGCTTCGCTTTGTCTCCGTGCAATAATATCAGTTCTGTTTAAAACATTTTTTTCTGGATTTCTTCAAATAGTGTTATCAGTCTTTGTTTACGATTTTGTGTTGTGTTATGCGTGTTGAGTGTGTTTTGTAGGGAGGGAGTGGACTTTGTGTTTGGAGCTGGCCTCATCACAGCACTGTGTCTCTTCATCCTCGTCATTCTCTCAGCCTGCACCTGGGGACAGATGGATCGACAGGCGTAAGTCGCTAGTCATTCCATACGATCCTAGGAGAGCCCAAGTAAAGGTGTTAGTCATCTCACTGAGGTTTTGTAGGGTTGCAATATATACAGGATTTGGCCTAAGTTTTCGAATTTTTGAACTTTTTGGTTTCTAAGATGGCGCTTAAAACTGCGAAAGTTATCTTTTCTTGAGTAAACCTAAATTTTCAAGGCTTAAATTTAGCATAAATTAGCTAATGTGAGCCTGCTCACTCGCTCGAAATTAGTTCACTTGGTCCCAGAATTTGAACATGAAAAACGTTTTAACATTGTTTCAAACCAAATCAAAAACTAAACAAGGATAGCCGGTTATTGTGCAAGAAGCACAGAATGTTCCGACCATAGTCTTAATAAATACGAATAAAGTTTTTCAAAATTAGTGTCGTTTTTTCTGCGTGGTGTGATAAAAGGCTGTGAACGAAAAACTAGAATTTGGCATGCTCGACAGTCAAAGTAAAACAGGCAAATTGGGAAACAGTTTTTGTAGGAAAATTAGTAGAAAAATGAACAAAAAAATCCTTAAATTTTTTTTAATTAATAAAAAATTGTTTTAATTTTTTTATATTTTAGAAATTCTTCGCAGTTTTTGATTCCTAAGATGGCGCTAAAAACTCCAAGAACTATTTTTAATTGATAAAACTAAATTGTCATGGCTTAAATTAAGCATGAATAAGCCAATGTAAGTCTGCTCATTCGCTTGAAATTAGACGACAAACCGGTTTTTCTCCGCACTGGTAAGATTTTTTGACATTTTCAATGTCATTCGAATCACGACTTAAAAGGATTTAATATGATATCACTCTACCCAGTCCGATGATTATTTGTGGCACCTGATTTTGCGTGAAAAAAAGTTGAAAAAAATGAAAAAAACTAAAACACACGCGAGTACAAATTTCCTCCCCATTTTCAATGGTCGGAACCATTACAAAATGAGAAAATTAAGCAATTCCATAGTGGATACGCCTCGCATATCCATTAATTGCTCCAACGTCACTTGATACGGATTATTATGTTTATCAAATCTCGAAACCTAAAATCAAATCCTAAATATGGTAAAAACCAAAAAAAAATTGACTACATTCTGAAACCTTGAAACAGTTTTGTTTTTGATTACTGTGTATCTAAAATCACTTTGAGAACTGCGCTGAGTGAGAATGTTTTTAGTGAGTACTGTGCTGGCTCATATGACCAACTGGACGATCCATATAGACGCACGACAGGACTGAGGCCACACGACAACGGAAGATACGGCATGTACGCAGGAGGAGGCAACTACCACAGACTGGGTCCCGCAGGAGCCAATGCAGCCGCAGGAGTGGCCGGACCCTCCAGAGAAGGGGGACACCCTCCGCCGCCATCGGTAGGTGAATGTACACCACGCTACCCAGTCACGTGATTTACTTCATTCATGTACACTACACAGATAAATAAGATGGCAAAATGCTACTATGAAAGATTTCACGAGTACAGAAATGTTCCTTTAAAATATAGCCATCAAAACTCTGTACTGGAGGATTTTTATTTCTTATTAAGAGTAATTTTTATCTTAATAAGTCAGTTTTTCTCAAGTCAGTTTTTTTTCTGTTTCTTTGCGGTCATTTCTCTTTTCCAGCTGTCAGTTGGCTATGTTTTGTTCCGACAATGATGAGATTCATATTTGTGCTTGTGTTTTTTTAGTATTCAAACTATCAGACGTGAACTTACTTGTATCTGTCCTTAATTAATCAATCGAAAATCAAAAGAAAAAATACGCCCTATTGGCTCTGTTTATTGTTGTATCTAGATCAGATTTAAGTCAATGCAATATAAATTTATTATGGATGAAGTTCTTTGAATAAGTCATAACGAATGCTTGAACTAACGTTCCTGGAATTTCTAATTTATCACTAGCGTCACCGATCTAGAACAAATTTTAACCTGAGGCCAGCCGTTGGGTAATAACACTTTTTCTAATTGCATCGTAAATTTTGTCTCTTCTTTCGCCTCCCTTTCTCCTGAGTCTAATTCGACTTCCGCAATAAGGAAAAGGCAGAGAAGAAATCTTTCCAGCAGAGGCTTCTTTTCCTTCCAATTGCCTCGGAGTAACCAGATACAATATGCTAGCCCATTAAACAAAAAAAGGAAAAAATAAGTCGTTGAAAAAAATGCGTTAAATTATGAACATTGCCAAAATTGATAAACATGCCTTGAAATCAAAAAGAACGGTTTCGAAAACGCGAAACCCTTAATGCTAACAGTTGCTGTTTACGATGATTACCGTATAGTTCCTTGATATTGTGAAGGTGATATGGATGCAAATAAAAAAGGGTTTGGTAATTCAGTTCATGGATGCAACTAATTTAGGCTTGGAGATATTGATGCTTAATGAAATATCAGTGGCTTATGGGATTTTCCCCCGAAGAAAACATACAAGCTTGTGGCTATGACACGCGGAACACAGTGGCATAAACATACAACAGCATGGCTGGAGAAAAGAGTGGTATTGTACGTGGCATAGCGGGAAGGGAATTGTAGGCGGCTAATATGAGCGAAAAATGGTCAAACTAATCTGTGCTTAGGTGCAGGAACATAAGAAGACCTATTCATATACGAAGAATATTATCTCCATTTTCCCTCTTTGCATGCTTTCTTTCTCTAGTACCAGCCAGGCACTTCAAAGTGGTGGCCTTTTTTGAGCCAAGAGTAATCTGTTTGATAGTTCGAATTTACACAATGAGGAGACTGTTATTAGACAACCTGGTTGCTTTGAATGTTTTGCTTGGATCAAAAAAGACTAGAGGGCAAAAGTTGATTATACGTTCTAACAGTGGTAAATCTCTTCAAAAGGGGAGTAGATGAAAATGTAGCAATTAAATGGCAAAAATCAATTGCGTTGGAATGCGAAGTTTAAGTTTTGTAAGTCGCAGCATGCAGACCTACGGGTCTCGGCTCTTGTTTGCAATGAACTAGTTTTCCGTCTTTTAGCTGAAGTGATTTGTGTGCGTCTTCTGTTGCTCACAGAAGCTGCAGTTTTCCCTGAGCTCGTTGCCAGTAGACTTTTATCCATCAATTCTGAATTTTCTCGTTCTCAGACAAATGAAACAGAATTTTCATTTGTTCCTTCTGAGAGTTTGTTTCTACTTTTTTTTAAATTAGGTGTGAAGCAAGTTTTCAAATTCCAGTATTTGGTGCTTAATAGCAAAAAATACTATTTTTTGTATAGTCGATATTGCCGGAAAATTGACAAATAGCTAAACAAAGTAGAAATATTTCATAGAAATATTGAAACAATGTAAGTAAATTTGTTATTTCTTGGCAGGAATATGCTCAGGTGAGTCTTCAGCAATTTCCCATCGTGGTTGAAAGCATCAAATTGGCCGAATGTTTGTTCCGACCTCGGAAAGTGGGGAGAAACTTCGTCATCGGGAGTGTTTTAGCCTTTTTAGAGGAAATGAACGAGTCAAGTTTACGTTTTCGCGGTTTGACTTTTGATTTCTTTATAAGCTCAGTTCATTTCCTTTACAAAAAGGAAAGAAAGTTCCGCTATCTAACAGCAAAAGTGTCAGGGCCACAAAAACGTGATCGACTTCTAGTTTCGAAAGTGGAATTTATTTTTCTGATTTCCCAGTGAAATAAAAATTTTACTTATTGATCCAGTTTTCTCAAATTAGGTAAATTTTATCAAAAAAAGGGTTAGTCATAAATTGTTCCAGAAATTCAAAGAGATTTAAGGGCATCTCTAGAGAGATTTAAGGTATAGGTCAGGATGTTTTTTTTTTCAGGTCTTTTTTCAGGAGAAAAGTCTTAAAATTGTTCAAATTTGTTTTTTCGCGGTTTGACTTTTGATTTACTTTTAAGTTCAGTTCCTTTTTTTGTTAAAAGGAAGACTAACTCTACTATTGAACAGCAAAAGTGTAGAGGTCACGAAAAATGCGATTGATTTCTAGTTTCGAAAATAGAATTTAGTGTTCAGATTTCCCAGTGATAGAAAAATTTTTTTACTTTTATCCAGTTTTCTAAAAGTTTTCTTTACGATCCAATTTTCTTAAAATGGGTTATTTTTTATCAAAAAAGTGCCAATCATTAATCGTTTTGGAAATTCAAAAAACATCCATTTAAGAGTCGACGAACGTGTTTCGATGAATGAATGGGCGAGTAAAGGTTGTTAGATCAAAATGGGTCTATTAAGCCGAGAAAAAGCTAGTTTTATTTCGTGGTAACATGTTTTTTACGCTTCATTAAGCGTTCTCTTGTCTATGAAAAGTTTTCAATTAATTTCAAAAATGCGAGTTTTAAATTACTGAGGTTACAAGCTTTATTTTTCGCCATCGTACAACGCTTAAAGGACGCAAAAATTTGAAGAAAAAACATTCTTTTTTATGAATGTGGTTGGAACTTTTTGAGCTAGTTGCACAGCAACCGACTACTCTGTTTCTTTTAGTGTTTTTTGTTTCCATCAGAATTATAAGTTCAAAAGCTTAACGGACAGCTTACTAATCTCATGTTTTTCAATTACATTTGCGGGGAAGTGTTTTTTAACCTGAATTAGATTTTTCTTCCCTGTTTTAAAAATCAAACATTTCTTTCGCTACGACCTTATATTGTTTCGATGCTAGGTTGCTTTAAACAGCGGCGTTATAGCTCAGGGAGCGGGTTTAGAAAGTTCGAGTTTCACAGTTTTGCTGCTTTAACTTTTCTGACATTTCTTTTGTCTCTACGGGCATCTACTCAAGTATTGACAGCTTAGTTACTGCTGGTTAAAATTATTTTCAATGCTAATTTACCACATATGACTTGAAACCCATGTGTTTATCAAAATTCATTTAGTTCGAGCAGAATATATGATAGGGCTAACAAAAACCAAACGGAACCGAGAAGGTCTTGACAGCAAAGTTCGATTAACATGAGAAATTGATTAACTAATGGTCAATTAGTAATAGCGGTTGGTCTACTCGCTAAAATAATGTTTTTGGGCACCGTTTTCTTTTCAATTTGTCAACTCAAGTCATGATGCGATGAAAGGCTGGATTAGCAAATCCGTTCAACCCAAATCAAGTTGTTGAACTCAAATCATTGTCAGTACTTGTATTAGAGGTTCGTCTAGTTTTTTAAGGGGTGTTGGATTGAGAAAAAATTCTGACAAAAACATTGAGTTAATAACAGTAATAAAACGAAATTAAACACAATTGAGTCATTGATTTTTGGCAGCAAATCTGTCATCGACATCCCCGACTTCAGTTTCCACATCTCTGTGGGTGTAAATCAGCGCAAAGTTTGAGAGTTGATCCTCCTTCATATTGGAGCGGAGGTAAATTTTTAGTTTATTAATGCTCGAAAAGCGTGCTCAGCAGTGCATGCCATCACGGGGAAGCATCAATCTGGAGCAAAGAAAAAGTTATTGGTATTGTGGATATAAAACATTTTTTAAGAGCAGATATGAAGGTTTCTGGCGTATCTGTGTACATGTTTCTCCAAAATTCGAACTCGCTTGAAGAAGATGCACAAATGAAGCGTTTCTTCAGGTTCATCAGAACAAAATAAAGAAAGGCAGGCAAGCGGTCTATCTGAAGTGGTCATACGCCGTTGATGCTATGGGCGGTCTGCCTCTTCGGCCCTCAATCTGAACATCATCTAGCTTTGCAGCGTCAGTTTGGACTCTTTCGTAGCGGCCACTGCCTTCACCATCGCGCTCTTGTTGAAAGAGTTGACGCATGATCCTTGTTGAAAGAGTTGACGCATGATCCAAATGTGATCCATCGACTGAAGGAGTTCTGGCTAAGGTCCTTGAAGAGCAATGATGGTAGCTTGCTCCAAGCAAGTGCTTCATATTCATCGGGGCGATCAGGATCTCTGATCGCATCATGTTAGCCAGATAAGTACAGCAGTTGGATGCACAGCTGTCCCCAGGCCAATTGCTGATGTCTTCTAATGTAGCTTCAACGGAAGGCTTGAACTGGATAAATGTCAGAACAGCATCGTTACGTTCAATCCATCGAAATTCAGAAATCTTGAGGTTGCAGTATCGCTAGTTTCGGGCTGCAAGTTCCGTTGTTTTACTGAAATCATCAGAACGCTTTGCAAAACCGCGAACCATGGTGATGATTTGGGAAATCAGATTAAAAGCACGGCCGGTTGATAAAATAAGTCATTTTTCTGAGATGCATGCCAGGATGATTTGGGCTGAGCTTTTGCCCTTGTATCGACTGTGTCAGCAAAACCGAGAAACTTTTCTCGGATTTTAGTGGTATGCCAGTATCTGATAGTTAGTGAGACCTGGTCGATTCTTGATGTCCATTGTCTCATCGGCTGTGATGGTCATATAATTAGAGGCCTCGACTCTGATAGAAATCTGTTTCAGAATGGTATTCCCTGCAATGTTGAGTTCCAAGTGCTGAGCGAGAATGTGAGGATCCCCTTTTGCTGCCTTGAACTGGAGAATGGGTGATGTTTTGCAGAACCGCGAAACATAGTGAGGATTTGGAAATCAGGTTTAAAGTACAGCCTGTTGAAAGAATAACTCCATTTTCTGAGACGCGTGCCAGGATGGTTTCAGCTGAGCTTTTGCCCTTGTATCCACTGTGTCCGCAAAATCGAGAGACTTTTCTCGGGTCTCAGTGGCATACCAGTGTCTGATCGATAGTGAACCTGCTCCGTTCCTGATGTCCATTGTCTCATCGGCTACGATGGTGATGTAATTGGAGGCCTCGAATCTGAAAAAAAAAAACATGTTAGAGGCCTCGCTTCTGCAAAGCAGAAGCGGCAAGACAGTCCCCCTTAGATTATGGAATAGGCCAGGAACTGGTGTCTTTCCATGTGCTGGGGGCCAAGTGTTTTCTCATTTTCCTCGTTTCATCACAATTTCGAATGGCCAGAATTGCAATTTTTTTTATCAAACCACGCAGAAAAAAAACAGTAACCGGCTATCCTTGTTTTTCTTTGGGATGATTTTATCTCTCCACCTTTCCCCTTTCTTCTATACTATGGAGAAGTAGTGGCCATAAATTGAGCTGGTGATTGTTATAATAGATACTGTATAGAACACTTTGCAATTAATTTTTATTGTGAGCTTGTTTATAGGGTTGATTGTTTTTGTCTAGGGGTAGCTTTTCGGAGAAAACGATCAAGCTCTTTCGAAGATCGTTTTCCAATTTGATTTTCCAAGTTGAAAACAAATACAACTCTCCCATTGCAAAAGTGGTAGTCACGGAAAATGAAGCTTTACTTAACAAACTAATTTCGTTTTTAAGAGTCGAAGAACGTAATTCCCGCGCTTATATGGCCGTGATGACTTTTTCCCGTTTTTTAAGGAAAAGTCTTAATGTTTGTTTAGGCTCAATTTCACGTTTCGCGGGTTGACTTTTGATTTGTTTTTAAGTTCAGTTCATTTAGTTTATCAAAAGGAAGGCAAACTCCACTATCGAACCGCACAAGTGTAAAGGTCACGAAAAACGTGATTGACTTCTAATTTCGAAAGTGAAATTTAATTATCAGATTTCCCAGTGAAATGAAAATTTTACCGATTGATCCAGTTTTCTCAAATCCTTTTAAATTTATCAAAAAAAGTTTCAGTCACAATTTGCTCTAGAATTTCAAAGAGCTTTAAGACTATCTTTTTTCTTGGAAACTCGAAAGTTGAAAGGTTTTCAAACAACAAGTCAGTATTTTTTTTGTTTAGTTGAGTTCAATAGCTCTTCTCCAACTGTCTGTTGGCCATGCTTAGAATTTCCTACTACGTGAAATCAAATTTGATATACGAGGGTTAATGTGATGGTTTTTTGCACAGGCTAGCGTGTATGAACTCACTTCGCTATTTAACAATTTGGTATCTTTGAAAGGAAAACAAGTTGATCAGGTCACGAATAAAAAACTACCCACGAATTTACGGAGAAAACCTTTCCAGTGATTCAACTCATTATAAAAAATCCGAAAGTTAAAATATATTTTTCAATTGTTCATTGAAATTATGTCAGTTGGTTTTTTTTTCTCAAATCCAGGCTGTTTATTCAGTTGCTATTAAGTAAAGGTAGTTAGAGTGCGACTTCTATAGTAGCCAAACATCTTTGAAATTGGATTTCTGTTGGCCAATATTTCTTAATTCAACCTCTGTATCGTAATGTTTGAAGAGGACATAAAATATGTTCCTACTGTTATTACACGGAAGAGAAACGTTATAACAAATGATCACTTATCAGGAAATATTTCCTTGACACTATAGCTGCAGAGGATGAGAAGTGACTAGCAGTTATTAGGAAAAAAATAAAAACATGCTGCAGTAGAAAGGGGATAAGTGTTTCCATTTAGAGTTATTAGGTGGCATGGTAAGGCCCCACTTTGACATTTTCTGCCTCTCGGTGCAAATTATTCCAATTTCTGCTGCAGACTGGGAAAAGGGCAAATAAATTCCCTCTTGTCATGACTGGATGGGAAAATTGCCTAGAGTTATTCCTCCCCACCCAGTTAATGTAACCTGCGCTAATCGAATAATGCGTCAATTCTGATCCTGTAATAACCTCTGAATATACGTGGGCCGTACAATGAGTTTTCGAACAACGCAGCTCATAAAAGTGGATAATTTTCCGTCGTCGATCTTGTATTTGAAGTTCTAAATAAGTAAGAGAAATGTCTCAATGTCTTTTAGCTTTTGATTGTGCCATATGACAAAGAGTTTATAGGAGGCGCACATACATATGTGACATATTGGGAAATGTTATCTTGGAACTGATGAAACAAAAGTTTCGAATTCCACCAAAAAAAGTCTAGCTAGTCTAGTTATTTTTTCTTCATATATAAATGGCCTGATTAATTGGCAACGTTCTTTTTGCCTTCCTTTTTAAACTGGCCTTTTGTTACAGTACCACATCTGACTTGGACTACAGCAGGGCAATAATAGCCCCTCCCATTTTTAAAAGTGAGTATAGCGTGCAAGGGTAGAGGTGTTCAGTAGTTTTATGGGTGATGGTAACTCTGTTTATTTTGTGTTAGACTCAAATTTGACGATAACTGGATTGATAGGTTACTTATGCAAAAAAACTATTGAAAAGACGATTGCACCTACCTCTTCTTTGCAATCCTGAAAGAAATTTGTTAGAAGAATTGAATATTGTTTTAAAAGTGTTTGGAGTTCGCTAATGTTTGGTCTAGATTTCAAAAACTTCAGTACCACTAAATTGTATCAACTAATAGTGTAACACGATTTAGAAAAATTTTTGTGACGGATTTATCTCTCTTATGCAGAAAGGTAGGGCGATGGATTATTCTATTCAATCCATATTTGCATAAGTTTTTCGTTATCCATCCGGTTTTAGTCATAAATGTTACATAGGCACAAAAATATTAATATGGTACACAAAATGAAGTAGATTAATCCTTAGATTCGGATTTTAAAAATTTTAATCTGGCTTTCATCTCGATTACTAGTCCTGTTTCGTACGATTGCAAAGCATGCTTTTATTTGTCCTATTCTAACAATTCACGACACCCTAGATGTAAAAGTATGTCAGAAGTTCGGCGTTCTATAACTTATCTACCTTCTGCCCTCTTAATCAAACTTACTTTTCATTCAATCAATGTTCCTTTGTATGAACTAGATTGGAAAAGAGTGGTGATATGAAAATGCATTCGAGGCGCTTTAATGGCGTTATCTTGGTAGGATTATAAGATTTATTGCGCTGGTCATGCTTCTTTGCTTGCGACGTGAAATCACATGTGTTTACTCGACTGAATGAGTGTTTGATCCTGAGAAATAGATCCGATTGCTCATTTCATGCATGGAATCCCAATATAGATCAATGTTTTGTTTGTTTCTGTCTGACTGGAAGCTAAATCGACTACCAAGGCGTATATATCATTTCATGGTGTTTTATGTATCTGCTTTCATTTCTATATAATGCCTGTCTAACGCAGCGGGAAAAGTGGTTTGGACGTGCGCTCGTGCCATGGAGTGCCACTGGCTGGTGTCGGTGTAGCATCTGTCTGCGTTTTGTTGACTACCGCATGTCAAGGTTTATTTTCTGGAATGGAAAAATGAAAAATAACATATTCGCCTCAGCTCTATTGCTCGCTCATGTCTTTTGAATGGTATTTGTGTCCAAAGGCGCAGGAAGCGACAGACATATCCATTATCTGTTTAAAATTGATCCATTTGGCATGCCAAGGTTAGGCAATCTATCAAAATACGTCACTCGGCCAAGCTTGGTCTCCGCGAAAAAGCATGTTGAAAAATTTGGGAAATATATGCGTGTTAATTGCGAAGAATCTAAAAAAGAAGCCGCTCAGCAAATAAGCATGGTTTATGTGACGAGTTTATTTATACATGAGCTATTGAGATGGTGATGCACGTGGTTTATTGATTTTTTTTGTGTTGATTTTTTCCAGAAGTTTTTAGTGACTCTTTTGATAATAGATGCTAATGTTTCAGTACGTGCAATCTGTAAGAACATCTGACGTATCCGAACTATAACAGAAGAAAATCAACTTGAAAACTAACAAACTTGAAAGACCTCCCTCTCCTCACCTCCTTTTGAGGAAATTGCCAACAGAAACCGAATAGTCATTCATTCGGTCACTTCTCCGCGTACGAACTCACAGTCCGAAGGTCAAAAGAAATGCTAGCAAAGCATTGTCACGTGATCAAAAATAAACAATCACTATCACTCGAAAACGTGGACTGGAAAACTCGTAAAATATTTTATTAGATAGCTCATCCCGCTTTCGTCTTTTTCACGTGCACGGAACGACATAAATAATGTTCATTAAATCTGATAGCATATTTTAATTGTTTTCGTAATGATCTAGGACTTCTGGTAGAATTAAACGTCTTAACTGCCCTAAAACTGAAAACCTGATCACAATGTAAATTATTGAATTCAACCAGTCTTATTTATTAGCCTCGAGTTTTTGTAGTTTGCTTTTGATGATGTAGTATATTGAATTTTCGGAATGAATGGAGACTATTTTTCTAGATTGCTAGTTGAGTTTAATCTACGGAGTTCATAATAAATCTTCGTATTGTTCCTAAATTGTTTCAAACAAACCTATTGTTGTTGCTTAATAATAATGCATGCTTTAGTTAATGTTTGAAGCAGAGCTTCTTTGATCCTAAAAGGAGAGCGGGTCATCGCATTAAATCATAGATAATATTAGCTGAGAAAAACTTGTTAGTGCGATGATCGCTCTAACTGTTGAATTTGTACTTAATGATTTACCTTGACGTTGAATATTCGAGATGTGATCCGTGAAGTCCTTCGTTAAATGTCTCCTTCAGTTAGTCGAAGTTTTTGGCTGATCATGAATTAGGTAAATAAAATTATTGTAGACATGTTTTTAACCTACAGAAGACATGAGAAATCTATTTCAGGTGCGATCGAACTACGTGATAGGATTAACTTGGTTGTTTTCTTCTTGAAGCTATAAGGGTTGATTGAGCTCTCAGTGCGTTTTGCTATCTGATTTAACTGCCTCGAACCTGACAACCTGTTCATCAAAAAACAATTTTTTTTCAATCGAAAGCAATATGATAGTTTTAATTTAAAGAGTCATTTAAATAGTCAATCAACGTATTAAAGACATCGTAATAGTATAGGTCGTAATAGTTTTTTCTTCTTCAGGAGAAGTACATTTTGTTCACGCATAACTGTAATTTTTCGCGGCTCGATGTCTGATTCCCAAATTATTTCATTTGATAAAAGGAAAGCAAACTGCTATTGGCCAGCAAAAATGTTTGAGTCATGAAAAACTTTTGTACAGAATCGAGGCGCAGTGTTTCATTACGCAGAGTTTTTTTCTAACCTTAGTAGCAAACAAAAGTGCTCATATGGTTCGCACTTTTGGTATGTTTCAATTTATTCTAATCTATTATCTATTTAAATGCGGGATCTACTATTTCGCCATGTTTAAGCTTTTTCAACGTATTATTTTTGCATGTTTGAGAAAAGAATTTTTGCACGATTAAGATATATCGTATATTGCAAGGGTCAAGGTTTTTTCGATTTTCCTGTTTAAATTCAGTGTTTATTTCAGCAAGTTTGAAATAAGCAAACCAATAGTGGGGTGTTGTCAGGGTTTTCCCAGGTTTTGCGATTCTGGCCTCCAGATATGAATAACTAAATCCTTTTAGTTTACGAGATACGGTAATCGTCGAGATTTTTCAAAAATTTCTAGAAAATCAAATTTTAAAAAGTTTCTTAATTTTTGAAATTCTCACCCTGTAGATGGGTGCTTTCAGGGTACTCTCAGGGGGTTGCGACTCGTGTCTCCAAATCTCACTTCTCCAATCCTTGTAGTTTTCGAGATAAAACGATTTTTATGATTTTCTCAATAATTTTCAAAAAAACTTAGATTTAAAAAATTTCAAAACTTTGTAAAGATTTCAATCCTGTTGTTAGAAGGAAATTGTCAGCTGTTGCGAATCTTGTCTCTGATTATGACTGCTCAAATTTTTGTAGTTTTCGAGATTGGACGTTATAGGAATTTTTCCAGAACTTAAATATAGAAAAAATTTTCCGAGAAATTGGATATAAAAAGTTTCACAAAATTTGAAGTTCCCATTTCTTTTGTGAAGCTCTCTCAGGGGTCTCAGGAGTTGCAAATTTTGCCTCCAGATTTGACCTTTTTTGTCATTTTTTCAAAAAAAAATTCCGAAAAATTAAATTAAATTAAATCTGAAATTCCTAACCTGTAGTTGGGGCTGTCAGAGTAATCTCATGGGTGGTGAATTTGGCTTCCATTTGAGAATGGCCAAATTTTTCACCGTACGATTGTAGTGATTTTTTCAGAAATTTTCAGAAAACATTACAAAATAATTCACAAAATGTAAATTCCCATCCCTGTAATTGAGTGCTGTCAGAGAACTGTCAAGGATTGCGTATGTTGCCCTCAAATAAGACTGCTCAAATCTTGGTAGTTTTTGAAGTGTGACATTTTTTCTGGTTTTAAAAAAGTATATGTTTTTTAGAAAAGTTAAGTTTGAAGTTTCTCAAAGTTTGAATTTCCCAACGTTGTAGTTGGGTACTGTAAGAGTACCCTTCAGGAGTTGCAAATCTTGCGTTCGAATGCGACTGCTCAATTGCCTTCAATTTTGTGGCGTTTCTTAACTCAATATGTGACGTTTCTTAACTCAATCAATTTTTTATGGTTTTTCAAAATTTGTATCAAAAAACTTAAATAAAAGAATTTTGCAATTTTTTTTATTAACGAACCCTGTAATTTGGTGCTGTCAGAGTATACTCAATGGATGTAGATCTTATTTTCGATATATGCGGCTTCAATGAGTTGTTAAAAAATCGAATAACTGGAGGTGCGTTACACGCTAGTATATATTTAAATGCGGGATCCACTATCTCGCTATGCTTAAGCTTTTCAACGTATTATTTCTGCATGTATAACGAAAGAATTTGTGCACGTTTAAGCTAAATCGTATGTTAAATGCTTATTTATTTTTTTGATTTTCCAGCTGGAATTCAGTTTTTTTTTGCCAAGATTGAAATTAGAAGCCCAAAAAAGGGATGGCGCCAGGATTACTCTACTGCTTTCAAAATGGCTCTTCATATTTGAGTACCCAAATATTCCAAGTTTACGAGATACTATTTTTTTTGTGTTTTTTTTTTCGAAAATTTTTATTTTATTCAAATTTGAAAGTTACGCAAAAATTTAAAATATCAACCCTGTAGTTTGGTGCTGTCAGGTTAATTTTAGTGATTGCAAGTCCTGCCTCATTATCTCAATTCTCAAAAACTTTAAGTTTGCAAGATATGTCATTTTTTATGGCTTTCAAAAATTTTCATAGAACATATAAAAACTTGAATTGAAAAAATTGAAATTCTCAATTCTATGATGTGAGATGCTGTCAAGAAACTTTCAGGCATTGCAAGTTGTGCCTCTAATTATGACTGCTCAGATCATCTTAGTTTCCGAAATATGAGATTTGCTCGAAACAAAATTATCAAAGAAAGAGTTTTTTGAAAATTGATATGAGTTAAAATTTTTAACCCCGAAATTGGGTGCTGTCAGGGATCTCACGGGTTTCAAATCTTGCCTCAAAATATGAGTGCTTAAATTTTTCTTTTCGAGCTATGATTTTTTTAAAAACTGTTTCAAACATTTTCACATAACTTTGATAAAAAACTTAACAAAAGTTGAAGTTCTCAAATCTATAGAGAAAGGTACTGTCAGGTTACACTCAAGCGTTGCAAATCTTGCATCGCAAAAAGGTTGTTCCAATTTTTTATGATCCGATATGGGACGTTTTTTTGATTTTTTTCTGAAAGTTAAATTTGAAAAAGCCAACCCTGTAATCAAGTGCTGTCAATGTACTCTCAGAGCTGCAAATTGTTTCCTCCAAAGGTGACTGCTCAAATGTTACTGAATTTCAAATTATGCTTTTTCAATAGTTTTCAAACAAAGCTTGAAAAAAAACGAAGTCCCAACCCTACATTGGGGTGTTCTCTGGACACTCGCAGACAAGCAGATTTTGCCTTGAAGTTTTATTATTCAAATCATCTTAGTTTCTGAGATATGCCGTTTTCTACAAATTTAATTAACTCAAAATTTTAACCTCCAAAAGAATTTCTTAAATCAAAATATTCAACACCGTGGCGGGGTGCTCTCAAGGTAATCTCAGGATGTTTATCTGGACTACAATTATGACTGCTCAACGCCTTTTGTTTTCTTAAAATGACATTTTTTTCTTTTTTCAAAAATTTCAAAAATGTTAAGTTTCAAATAAATACTTTTCAAAAACTGAATTTGTTAGCCCTTTGGTGTGGTGATGTCAGATTACTACGAGCAAATGCATATTTTGCCTCTCATCACAACATTATTGCCAATTTTTTATTTAACTGTTAGTTAAATTAAGAAAAAAGAGTCTTGACATTTTAAAATTATTTACGCCGGATTATAAATCCCATTTATGAAATTGAGGGTTTTGAAATTGAAATTATTTTGATTTTTCGATTTTGGAAATTGCAGTTAAATGCTGTCGGCCATTTTAAGGGTTCGTTTACGGAAATTTCAAACACAGCAGTTTTGGAGATTTGATGGTCTGAAGTCAAAATTAATTTTATCTTTCAAATTTTGAAATCAAGAGTGCTGTGAATTTCCGCTTTTTTTTTACGGTTGTAATTATTTTGCTCTTTTTCCATACTTTTCCGTAGAAGCAACTTTCTTGTTCGCTAAACTGCTACGTTTCTGAACTCATTCAAACTTTTATGGTTTTTCAAAATTTGCATTAGAAAACTTGAATAAAAGATCTTGGCAATTTTTAATTATTGAACCCTGTCATTTGGTGCTGTCAGAGTATACTCAAAGGATGCAGATCCTATTTTCGATATATGCGGCTTTAATGAGTTGTTAAAAATTCGAAGCACTGGAGGTGCGTTACAAGCAAGTATATATTTAAATGCGGGCTCCACTATCTCGCTATGTGTAGGCTTTTTCAACGTATTATTTTTGCATGTATAACGAAAGAATTTGTGCACGTTTAAGCTATATCGTATATTAAATTTTTTTGATTTTCCAGCTTGAGTTCAGTTTTTTTTCGCCAAAATTGAAATTAAAAGCCCTAAAAAGGGATGCGGCCAGGATTGCTCTACTGCTTTCAAATTGGCTCTCCATATTTGAGTACCCAAATATTTCAAGTTTACGAGATACTATTTTTTTTTGTGTTTTTTTTTCGAAAATTTTTATTTTATTCAAATTTGAAAGTTCCGCAAAAATTTAAAATATCAACCCTGTAGTTTGGTGCTGTCAGCTAAATTTTAGTGATTGCAAGTCCTGCCTCATTATCTCAATTCTCAAAAACTTTAAGTTTGCAAGATATGTCATTTTTTATGGCTTTCAAAAATTTTCAAAGAACATATAAAAACTTGAATTGAAAAAATTGAAATTCTCAATTCTATGATGTGAGATGCTGTCAAGAAACTTTCAGGCATTTCAAGTTGTGCCTCTAATTATGACTGCTCAGATCATCTTAGTTTCCGAAATATGAGATTTGCTCGAAACAAAATTATCAAAGAAAGAGTTTTTTGAAAATTGATATGAGTTAAAATTTTTAACCCCGAAATTGGGTGCTGTCAGGGATCTCACGGGTTTCAAATCTTGCCTCAAAATATGAGTGCTTAAATTTTTCTTTTCGAGCTATGATTTTTTTAAAAACTGTTTCAAACATTTTCACATAACTTTGATAAAAAACTTAACAAAAGTTGAAGTTCTTAAATCTATAGAGAAAGGTACTGTCAGGTTACACTCAAGCGTTGCAAATCTTGCATCGCAAAAAGGTTGTTCCAATTTTTTATGATCCGATATGGGACGTTTTTTTGATTTTT